TTAGCGTTACTTTCGGGGAGCCGTTATTTTAGGGGCGGTGGGAGGGGGGGAGCGTTACTTTCGGCGCAATTCCACGGCATTGCTTGTTTCAAATCGGTGATCAATGAAATCAATTAATAAGAAATCGATGGACAATTAATGGAAAATCAACTGCATAGTCCTAGAGCATAGTCATTAATTGTTTCCGATGATAAACGAGGAATCGATTTCTGTCATTGATTACTTGTCCACTACTCTGTGCTTATTTAGCTTTTATTTTGCTCTGTAAATATTACGAGTTTCTAGAATTTTTGTTTATCTTTTTTCCTTGATAAATCCATGTCCAAAACGTTTATCGACGATAAATGATGAGGTGCAAACACAAGTTTTAAACAGGGAAAGTAACTAAAATTTAATGTCAGTCGAAAGACTCGGCTATTAAAATGCGCATAACCCTCCCTCTTGCTGAAGATAAATAGGACGTTCTCCAATTAAAATGGCGTCGGCCGACAGTAGATCACAAGCTAGGAAGAAATGGAGTTTTCAACGTGGTGAAAAGCACGGGGGAGCACGGAGCAACATGGATAAATATTTCATTAGCGATATTTTGGACTATGGCTGTGTTTCTTTGGAATAATCCTGATCAAAATCAATTATGCAAGATCACTCGAATTATAGAACAGTAAAGGAAGCAAGGATTCATAAGAACCTTTGATGATCCGTGGTCCGAGTCATTTTGGATCATTAATCCTCGTCCGCAGATGATCCCGAAGAAACGTACCTTTATAAAGTGACTGCGGGACGTAGGGAAAGATAAGGGGTGGTGGAGTGGGGGAAAGTGGGGTGTATCCTAGAAACGTACCTTGATTACGTCAAGATCTTGTTTTCTGATTACTTTTGCCGCGTCGTTAATAAAAACTTTATCGCTCAACAAAGAGATGGAAATTAAACTTCCTATAAACCAAAAAAACATCCATGAAGAGCCGTGAAATAAAGTAGAGACATGTAACAATGCAACATAGTGTAGTTGGTGAAGAGTTCAAAGAACTGACTGGTCCTGGTCATGAAGTAAAAAAATAGTTTTCAATTATTATATGGCTAGCTCCGTGAGGGGACACGATGAATCAAATCCTGCGCTGTGATTGGCTACCCGAGCGGGCAAGATGGAGCTATCTTGCCCGCTCGGGACTACCCGTCGTGTCCCACAAGAAAAATTTTCCCGAAAGCCATATAATAAATCCTTTATTGACCAAGCTTGTTCGATCATCCTTTATTCAACTAAGCTTGTTGCGAGTTTATGGACCTCGACTCCGTCTCGGTCCATAAACACGCAAAAAAAGAACTTGGCCAATATCCAGCAATCTTGACCTCACACTTGGTCAATAACCCATACATCTTGCTCAGTGTTGGCTCATCCTGGTATTTTTATTCCGGTATTGTCGCTTCCTAATGGTCTTATTAATCGTCATCCTAATGGGAAATCGTCATGGAAATTAACAGGCCTACAGGAAACATGGTTTGGCGAACATGTTTTTCCTTGTGTATTAACCTCAAAAAAAACATTTATAGCACATTTTACAAAGTGGGGGAATGGTGTACTAGCAGCTAAAATTCATTTTAACTGGTTCGCATCACCGGAGAAACGGACTCGTTGAATTTATTAAAAAAGATATTTATTGAAATCGCAAAAACAACAAAATAAGAAACAATATGCTTTTGATGTAAACTCAGAACTGACAGCACTTTTCTAATAATACACTATTTAGAGCTAAAAACCAACATTCTTACAATATTAAATTACATTAGTACTATTAGTTCACTTACTTGATCATTTTAGAACTGATCTACTAGCATTAATTTTTCACTTCTTCAGAGTGACGTGTTTGGTGATATGATCACCTAAAAGTAAGTGAGGTTACTAAGGCATTCTTCTTATGGCTGCCTCAGTTATTCATTACGTCAGGTAAAGTGTCTACAAGTAAAAACTAAAGAAGGTTGAAAATTGTTATTTCCAACTTGACACGCTCTTTTATTACAATAGATGACGTCACCGATGTTTTCTGTATTATTAACAACATTATATGAACATGATGTCACTATCTTCGTTATGGTCACGAATGAAGAAACTCTTCCAGCAGTTGTTTAATTGAACTCAGATCAGAAGAAACTTCACTTAGACCGCGGCAAATGGTTATTCTGATTCCTTTACAGGTGCAATAGTGTGCACTGGTATCCTTCTGTAAAGCAGCGAGATAACTTGCGGTGTCAGTACAGCCAATATAAGAATAACTTTGTTTCGACGAAGCATGGCCAACAAGGTCTTTGGCGATCTTCTCTACGTGACTTAAACAGTACCGCATGTACGAGCTCATATTGTCAATCTTTTTTTGCCTTTCTTGTAACTGTGTTCGTGCTCCATTTAACTCTCTTTGCAATCTCTTTATAATCCCTTCCATGATTTCTTGAAGATTATCCGGCTGAATTTGATCTAACATCTCGTATGTTTTCAACTCTTCCAGACTGAGGCAATGGGCTTGGGTAACACTCGCGAGTTTCAGCTTCTTTAGCTTGTAAGTCTGTGCGAATACCAAATCTGCAAGGATGCTTTCTTTCGCTTTCACTTTGACCTTGTTGGTCATGAAATCTTCGCACCTCGTAACAATGGCTGCCATTTGATATTCGTGAGCGAGCTTCACCAGGAAGTAACAGTTTTCCTGCGTTATTGCTCTTTCTGTCACTGAGGGATAAATCTGCCGAAGCATTTCTTCAATTTCGCTCGCTTTTTTGCCTGGAAGAGGAACTTCATTCTTGTCCTTCTCTTGAAACTCTGATGTAAACATCTTCTCAAACACGGGTGACCAAAATGCAAGCATTGCCTTGTGAACATGAAATCTTTCTTCTTCCACAACAAGAACAAGATCGCTGAGTTTCCACGGCTGCGAGAAATCAGGCGATGCGACTTCACTTTTTGATGCCATCTGGAAAGACCGAGCTGCAGTAGGCAACGGAGAAAAGCGAAAAAGTGACAGAATAATGGAATCAAACATTGTGCTGACTCTCGGAAATCGCTTATAATTAAATCTTAAAACGTCATAGGAATGCAAAGTGCATTAAATTAGAGGACCAACAATAGACTATGATGTGAACAACGGTTCCTTTGTTTCGTAACGGCCATTTTCAATTTTAATGCTCTCGGTGTCATCTGATGCGAGGGCTTACGGGGTTTAAAGGGGTCTTATACTCTCAGATATAAATTTTTCTCCAGAAAACCATTTTTTTGGAACATGAAGATTCAACATCCCTGCCCATTTGTAAATCGTATTTTGAAACGATTTTCCTCTAATTACTCCTGAATTTACGTTTAAATTAAGAAAT